TCGGATCAGCGCCTCATCCAGGTTGTCTCGAACTCAATGACAAACAAGCACGGCCAAACCTGTGACTCACCGTCAACCTCGCCATTCGTTTCGACTCGTGCGCATCTCATCCATCTGGAGGCACATCTTCGTTATATCACGGGTGCGGATCAAGGGAAATTGACTGCTCGCCAAAGCGGACAAACAGACGATATTATGAGCTTCAACGGACCCCGGGAAACAATCTAACGGGCGGTAGCTCCGATCATTGGAAAGACTCCCATGGCAGACAAATATCACGAGAGACAGTGCTGCGCATCACCTGCTCATGTCGAATTACGGATAGGCGTCTTCTCTCGTGGCGAATGACTTCAAACAAGCGTGCCTCTGTCCTCGATGCCCGTCTCGCAGACCGGCGCTCTGATGCCGGGGGAGGCAGCCACTCGGCCGACTAAGCCACGATCCCACCCGGCGAGCCGTCCAACCACAGCGGCCCCTCTCGACCGCCAACCCTGCTCTTGCGGCGGCCTTCTCTGCATCTCTCATGCTGCTGTTCCGCATGCTTCTTGAGAGGGCGGTGCCGTGTCATGCACGAAACCTCTTTGCCCACCAGTTGTTCGCGCCTGCTCGTGTACTGCGGCGCAAAATACCCGATCGTTCATCAAATCTGCTGTCGTGCTTTCGATCTTGACCCCAAAGAAACCGGTTTCAAGCCTGGGGCGGTGGAGATGCCATCCATACGATCAACGCATCACCCGTCATCCCCGGCCGTCTCTCTCTCTAGTCTCTTCCCCTCACAGGCATCCCAGTGAGTGAAACGTCAAAGATTGAGATGTCATCTCTGCTTCAGACCCGGCAGCGACGAGACGGCGACAAGCAACCGATTAGACATCCGCCTGGCCGGCCCAGACCGGGAGCTCTGATGATCTCACACACTTTAAACCTCTGATCTCTGATCTCTTGGCCCATCCCACCCCTTTTCATCTCAATTTTTCTTCCTCGTCCCTTCCACCCTCCAACGTCGCTGCCGGCCATCACAGCGCACACACATCAGTGACTCACATCCACCACAGCCCATGGGCAGGATCTCCCCCCTCCCCCTCCATGCATTCGGGTCGAACAGGCGACTCGCAGCCGCCCGACAGGTCCCAAGGGTCGCCTTATCGCGTGGCATCCTCCCAGGCCTTGTTCAAGTCGCAGCGCCAAACCAGAAAATCTTCCGCGATCCCGACCACCGCAACCCAACAGAGACACCTGTGTGCGTTGGCAGTGCCAGGCTCCTTCTCCAAGCCCTACCCTTTTTTTACCTCGCCTTGCTTAACACGGGCGGAGAGGAGGACGGGGGTGCAGCTTTGAGTTACCCCTCCCATCTTCCTTCGCTACCCCGGCATCCCGTCTTTCTTCAAGTGGCATGAACCCTTGACCTGGGCCATAGGTCCAAAGATTCATGCGAACAAGCCCCAATGGAAGCTTTGATGTTGCTTTCCAGCAGCCCAGCGTATGATCACTCACTGGAGACGAGGGGGAGGGGGAAGCATCAAGATGAAAAAGTCTCCGTCCACAGTACCGAGGACCGCGCGCAGTCTGTAGAAACCGAAAAGTCCGCGAGGAATTCAACGTGAAGGGCCACTCGAATCCACCCGGCCTGTTGTTCCCGGCGCGCCCGCATATTGCTGCTGCTGCTGACGAGGTAAAATGGTACTCCGTCTCTCGCGTGGCCACAGCTTCCATCGTTGGGAGGCGATTAACGCGAAGAAAAAAAGAAGCGGGCCTCTCTGGCAACACCCTCTCCGTCGCACCTACCCTACCTTACATAAGCGCCTTCCCTTTTTAGACCGCACGGGCCACTTCAGCGCGTACTCTAGAAAAAAAGTCAGAAAACCCGCGTAACTTTTTTTCTATCGTATGCATCGAAAAACTAACAACGTAGGCGCTCTTTTTAGGCGATTTAGGGTTAGGGAGTATATATAATGAATTAGCACCGGTCGTGCTATGGGCGATGTACTATAAACTTCGGTATTAAGTCATACGGCTAGCTTTTGACTTAGCTGCGAAAAAACTAGTTTCGGCCTAAGGTAGCAGTAGGCGTGCAAGTGGGGCGGGTGTATTTGTAGCCAGAAAAGATGTCCATTTTTTTCGTTGGTCCAAGCGTTTTTTCTTCGCGTTAATCGGGGTCCATCGTTGAACCCGTGTCGTGCGTGTCTCGGCCAACCCCCACTTCAACGCCGAGAGGAACTGCAGCTCAGCTTCTCTAGAACCTGTGGAGAGATATGACTGCTGGAAGCCCTCCAGAAGCAAGCCAGCCAGTTCCTTTTTCTTTTTTCTCGTATCGTGGACGCAAAAATAGCGTGGCCTACCAACGGCCCAGACCTTGCATCTCGTCAGGCCCATGCTGCTCTCTCTCGACGATGACTTCGTGCCCAAGTGGCGAAATGCGCCCGCGCCCTCTTACTACCTTGACTGAGTAATGAGCCCACCGGATGCCGTCCTTTCCCCTTCCAGCTGCTGATTCGCACTCCCGGCGGAGACCTGACTTGGGCCACGCCTCGGGTCTTCCGCGATTCAAGCCTAGAACTACGCCAAAAAGGACTGCTGAGGGAATTTGATCGTGTTCTGTTACAACCTCAAATGCTACGAATCCTAGGTATCTGAGGACGAGAGGAAAGAAAGAAACGCCCGTCGGCCCAACCAGACGCCTAATTGCTTTTTTTTTCTCATCGTTCCGTTACAGCCAATCATACAGTTGCCCGTACAGTATCGCGTTACAAGCGCCGCTGAAAAAGTGCAAGCCAGAGAAAAACCATGTCTGCGCCAAAGAACCGCCTCCCGCGACTAAAGCTCATCCGAGGCTACGCCGCCGTGTCCGCCGCCGTACTTGTCCCGCCCCCAGTTAGCCGGATCGCCGCCGGGGACGCATAGCCCGAGCCGCCAGAAGTAATCCCTGTGAGCGAAGAACAGCTGCCAGAGCTTGAGCCGCGTCGGGAAGCCCGGGAGTCTCTTCCTCAATGACCTCTCCGTCTCAACTTCTTCCACGTCTCCCTTACCCATACCCGCCTCCTCGATTAGATCTCGTGCTGTGGACTCGAATAGTCCGCCGTCCCCCTTCGTGATGCATCTCGAGTCGCTGTCGCCGCGGCAAACCAACACGTCCTCTATCGACGGAGACAGCTCCGACTTTGCAATGTAAAACTCGCCGGCGTGCGGCTTGTATCCCCACTCGGTCAACGGCAGCAACGGCACGGGATCACCAGCGTGCGTCACGCGGCGGTAGGTCCTGTTCATCGCGTTCCGCTCCTCCCCATCCTCCTTGTTCAGCCCGAAGACGGTGTCAACGTAATCGCACAGTCCCTGATTGCCAACCTTGGGTTCTCCGAACGTCGTGACGATGACATCATCCCATCCGAGGGACACCTTGATCTCCAACGCCGCGAGCATCGCCACTGCTCCGCCGAGACTGTGCCCGACCAGGTGGACGGGGTAATCGGGGTACTCCTCCCTCAGCCTCTTCAGCTCCGGCAGCACGAGCTTCCTCGCCTGCCGCCATGACGCCAGAAACCCCATGTGCACGGTGCAGTCCTCGCAGCGGTGCTCGCGCGGCGGCTCGTCGTCGCCGTCGTCTGGCGACGGGTACGGAACATACTCCTGCGGGATAGTGCTGAGATCCACGACGGTGTTGGTGATGCTGTACGTTCCGCGGAATGCGACGATGATGGCCTTGTCGCCGACCTCGCCCTCGAAGCGGTCCTCATCGCCCGGGCGGCGCACGCCGTGGTCGACGGCGATGTAGCCACAGCTGTCGCTCAGCAGGACGCCCGTGTTCCATGTCGTGATGAGGTTGAAGGAGGGGAATTCGTTGCAGCGCGATACGCAGGAGAAGGGCTGCGAGATGCCCGAGGTGCCGACGCAGTAGGTTATGTCGACGATGCGGGAGGTGCGTTCGAGGGAGCGGAAGAGGTCGACGGATATCGTTGGGGGAGTATTCGCGGTGACGGATTCGGAGCCGAGGATGGGGTGTTGTTGCGAGGATTCGGTGGGCGTGGCGGTGGCTAGAGAGCCGAACAACGGCGCGAGCTGGAGCAGACGTCGCATCGTGAAGGTCGCGATACCGATCTGTGGTGTCTTTCAGGTGTCTTTATGAAATGCAGGCTGTGGTTGATGATCGAGGTCGCGAGACATTGCGCAGGGGTATCTGCCACTCGATGCAACGGTGCTGGGGAATGGGCGTAGATAATTATAAAACTCAGCTCAACAATAGGTAGGAATGGGGTCGACAGAGCAGGTGGGCAACCGAAGCGACGATGACCACGTTAGACCGGTCAAGCAAAACCTGTCAATACCTGACCTTCCAAGCACACATGATTGCGACTGCACCTTGTGAGCGTGCTGCTTGGAAAGGGAAATTGCGTCGTGGAGGGAGGATCCGCCACGACGCAGCAGGACAGGATACCGACGTCTCAGACTGATCTCGTGAGGTGAGCGTGGTGAGGTCATACGGCCATGCAGAAAAAAGGACGAGACAGCTTCCCGTTGCGTTGAGTGGGAATGCGGAGGCGCGGCAAAGCGACGATTGCCGACGTATGGTTGGTCCAGAGTGCGTCGGTTCCTGGAAGCCCGCTGGGGAAAAGCCTGGGGTTGGGCTGCTTTGCCCCGCGAAAGTGTGCTGTCAGACGCATCTAGCCGGCATGGTAATGCTCCCGCCCTTCAAAAGCCCACCTGCGCAACTCGTTGGGGAAATTCATTTCAGCAGTCTCATGCGAATGTTAAGGTGGATGCTCACTCAGGTGGGCGGGAAGTCTATTGATTATTCTATTTTCGTCAAGTACAGTTGTGTCGTCGGACAAGTCTTCTCTTGTCTCCTCGTGATTCGGGGGGAAGAGGATGTTGGCCCTCCCTGTTCCTCTTAGGTTCATACGTCAAATCTCATGCCAAGGTTCGATCACCAGGCCTCAGCGTCTGTTTCATCTTTCCCATTCTGGCTGTTTGCTTTTTTTTTTTTAATGTTCATCTCAACGTGACCCTTCTTAACTGCTGGGTACGGGCTGGATGCTGAAGAATTTCGCTCGGATGTCGTCCGAGTTGGATGTGCATGCAACGGCTCTCCTGGCACGCCTGTGCGACCGCGCAGACACTCCGCTGGCGGTGCCGTTGCATACGAGAGGAACGGATGCCGTTCCGGATGCCTCGTAATCGGCGGCGCTGTAGGTGGCGTTAGTTATTGCGCGAGAGCTGCCAGGCAGGTCCTCATCAAGTCACTTACCCATCATCGCCTGGGCAAACCTTCTCGATCACAGTAATGGTGTTGTTTTGCCAGATAAATTGCACCATCGCATTCTCGCAGCTATATCTCGGCGTGCGACCGTCGCCTGATACCGGCACGGAAGAGGCGTTAAGATGACATGGCGTGTTGAGGGTGGTGCTGTCGTCGTTGAAGGTGAAGTCCAGCGAATCCGCCGTCTGGCCGTCCGCAGACTGAGCAGCAAAGTTCTGGATCTGGAAATCATCCGGCAGGTTGCAGTTGCCTGCGTCCGCCATGGCCATGACGGAGTCCGGGACCGCTGCCATGTAAGAGACCATGGCCTGAGCCGCAGGGGCGGCGGCAAAGAGGAGGGACAACTTCATTATGACTGGTGGTATGTGTATAGTATCTAGCTGGGGTTCAAAAGATGGAGATATGAGCCTCAAGTGAAGGATGTCAAGCTGAGGATAGAAGAGACGAAAAGTTTGGATGAACGATGGAGCGTGGAAAGGCAGCAAGCAGGGTGGTCTATAAACAAATCCAAGGCAGATCCTCGCGGTCAGTTCCTTCCAACTACGTAGCTAGCTTCACGTTTAAATACGAATTGGTTACTCGCAGGATCAGACCCAGAAAGATCTCCCTCCCGCCGCCCTAGCGTTGCTGCGTGCCTTGCAGACTTCTTCAGGGGCCCGGGAGGGATGAGCATGGCTAAACATCTCCAGAGGCGCGCAAGCTCTCTGCAGATCCTGATGCAATCATCCGGTCCGGCCGTGCCTACGGGAATGGCTGAGTTGAGGGGTTGGACGAGCATGACTCCAGTTTAGGGGAAACAGCAAGCACTGCCGTCATTAAAGATGGAGCACAGGGCGAGGAGGGAGAGGAGGTTGATGCTCGCTTGCATTACACGCCGCAAGCTCAGCGTTGCGTCCGTTGGTCGTTTAGCACTTGGTCCAGGGGAGCCGCTCAGCCTTGATTGGCCGCTGGGTGTTTCATGTTTCCCAGCATGGCATCCTTACAAGCTGGACCTTCCAACGTCCTTGCTATGTTGATCTCTCTCGGCCCCCCTTTTGGGTAAAGGCCAAATCCTGGCTGAAGGGGCCAATTTATTCTCCGCCATTCATGATTCGGACGGCATTGTTGGGAGGCGCTGATCAAAGGGCTGGAGACTGGAAGCTGAGAGGTTGGGGGCTGGGCTGTCCGCGAAATAAGATAGATACCCGTACTTCGATGTAGAACAGGGCAGCAGGAGACCAAAATGCTTGATTGACACGGCGCCAACGCGCGGCTCTTTCCACGGCAGACTTCTTGCCGATTCGGGAATCACGCATGTTGGAAGAAGCAACCATGCTGAACTGGCAGTGGGTTTTCTCGCGGAGGCTCTTACGCTCGAGGGCAGATACGAGCTGCATGCGGTGAATCGTCGCCTTCAGTCGAGGCACAGCATTCGATAGACTTGTATCTAAATTTGTCCCCCGAAAGAGTGTTGGTCCATGTCGAAAGTCGGTGAGATGAAGCGACTACAGTACTGCGAGACCGTCTAGAACAAGATCTTAACCTTAACACATGTATACGTATCAACCAAGGGAATCTGTTAAGCATGCTCACTTGCATCTGGTTAGCCAACGGACCAATCAGAAATCATCGGCGATAGCAAGCAAGCCAACCAGCCAGACCCCGCAGCAGTGCAGCAGGCAGCGCAGCCAGATCTTTTCGCCAAACCCCAAGGCACGTGACCACACAAACCCACTCGCGAAATTTCGATTCCACCCCGAACTTTTTTTTCCGGAGGGACGCCTCTTGATCTTTAACCACCACGACAATACTAACCCGACAACCCAACCGTCCATCAGCAGCATTAAGATGGCCAAGGAAGCCCCCGCCCGCACTGGTCTGGCCACTGGCCTGAACCACGGTCACGTACGTCGCCTCGCAATCCCGACCTGAAGAGGATTTTCACAATCCCCCGATTTTCTCTCGATCGATCGACTTCCGAAGAACTTGAAGAAGAACTTGTCTCCGAAAGGGGAGGGGAATTCTCATGAGGACAAGGAGTGAACATCGATCGAGGGAAAAGAGGAGGAAAAGGACAATTCTCTGAAGGATACATGACACCGCTTCGTCTCACCTCGTGGAGGATCTCTGCACATCATACCCTCTCTTCCACGAGGGGAGCGAGCACCCTCGCTTTTACTGCAGAAGATGGACGCTGACCGGTTGTGATTTCCCCCAATATAGAAGACCACCGCTCGCGTCGTCAAGCCCCGTGTCTCCCGCACCAAGGGCCACCTCAGCAAGCGCACCTCTTTCGTCCGTGACGTCGTCAAGGAGGTTGCCGGGTAAGTCCACCACAATCCCCGACTGTCTGTCAACTTGTGCAACACCATTGCTAACCGCCAACCCCCTCTCCAGCCTCGCTCCCTACGAGCGCCGTGTCATCGAACTCCTCCGCAACTCCAAGGACAAGCGCGCCCGTAAGCTCGCCAAGAAGAGGCTCGGTACCTTCGGCCGTGCCAAGAGAAAGGTCGAGGAGATGACCCGCGTCATCGCCGAGTCCCGCCGTGTCGGTCACTAAACGGAACAAATCAAATCAAAATCGGGTTTATTGTGCTGCACTACGGCAAAGTTTTTATCGGGGTCGGTTTTGGGCAACAAAAGTATCAAATGGGTATAAGGCGTGTGGTCACAAAAGTGGTCTCTTTCCCGGGAAAGCTTTCTCACGGTTTCTGATGAAGGCTGCTGCATTTGCATCATGGGATAGCATTGCAGCTTCACGACAAATACCAAAATTTCAAGCAAGCCCGTTGCTGCCTCGATTTGCTACTTCATGAACTCGGTCTCGCTTGTGCAATGTGACTTGTATGATATGATTGCCTCTCTACATGCTCAATTCATCGGAAGCATTGGTCCCATCCCTCTAAGCCTTAAACTCCGCCCATGGATACCGCGCACCGTCCGCACAGAGCAGCGCTAGATGCTTTACATTAAAAGGGAAAACAACTCCGTCTACTTCTTTCCTGGGAGCTTAAGCCACTTGGGTAGTTTCTTGGCCACACTACCCTCACCTCCCTCGCTCTTCTCTGGCTTAGCCACTGCAGCCGCCTTCTGACCGTCGTCTTTCTCATCTACGTACTTGGGCACGTCTGGTACTGTAATTTCCTTGGCCCTCTGCGCAATGTCACCCTTCAGGAAAGGCTTCTTGCGAATATCCGCCGGCACGCTGTCATCCCATACCAGGCTCAGAAGAACATTACGTGTGAGCTTGTAGTCGTGGATGAGCCGGTTCTTGGGCGTGTTCTCGTCCTTGATGACGGTTTTGCTGCCAGGAATCACCAGTCTGAAAGCTTGACCCGTGTGTGCCATTGCTTGCCTCACTCCTTGGTAAAGCGTGGCGCCGGTGGCTTCGTGGCCGAACTCCCACTGAGCAGAGGTGTTGTCGGGAAATCTGACTTTCACGACAACTTTCGAAACGGACGCTAGCTTTGCCTCTTCTGCCTGAGCCTGCGCCTCCAGTTCTCTGTCTGATAGGAGCCTCTTGTTCTGGGAGCTTTGCTGAAGTCGAGCCTGGTGCAGTTGGGCATGTGCGATTGTCGGCGTGTAGTCGTTTTCTGATACATCTGCAAGAGCAGCTGCTGGTGTTGTGCCGCTCGGCGCCCGGAAAACACTGACGGGTTGCAAAGGATCGAGAGGCTCGGCTGGGTCCACGTCCATTGCTTCAGGCTCTGCCGCTGCCTGTTTTGCCGCCTCCTGGAGTGACGCTTCGTTTGTTGGTTGGTTTTGTGAGTCCTCAGTATCTTGCATCGACGTGGGCGCCTCTTCGGTCGCAGTCTGGGCGACTTGTTCAGTCGGCGCCGGTTGCGTCGCGGGCTCAGGGGCGGCAGCCTCAATCTGACTATTCTTCTTCGCCTCGGCCTCAACCTCGGCGAAGAACTGACTGATCTGCTCCATGGCGTCAAACAAAGTCTGCTCCGTCTTTCGGAAGGACAGCCTGATCAGGACACTGCCTGAGTTGTATCCAAGTTGCGACAGAGTCTTCTGGAAATCCTCGAACGTAGCCAGCTCTCGGCCCATGATGTTGAGCACTGGCGTCTCGTAGTACATCTGGCCGCTGCCAGTTGCTCCTCCGCTTGTTGTCTGCGCGACGCCGCGCGCAGTGATGTTGAGGTTCTTGCCTTGGCTAACACCGCTCTCGAACTGGCGCAGAACCTTCCATATCGTGAAGTCGCTCGGGAGTTTCTCAATCAGCCGCCCGTTTGGCGTTGTGTTTGCTTCGGGCATCGGCAGTTGGAGGGCGACCGAGACGGCGGAGGGAGTGTTCGACTTCTGGACGAGCTCAAGCTTGGCGCCGGGGCTGAGACCGCTTACTCTCCAGACGATAGACAGATCGACGGTCTTTTGCTTATGTCTGCCAACTGGTTAGCAAGTGGTGACAAGGACCTTTTTATGGTTCTCTGCGGGTGCGTAACATACTTGAAGATGTACTTGTCGCTCGACAGATTGAGCTTCTTGCAAGCCTCTTGCAGGACATCTGTCATATAGGTGCCTGGGCTGACCTTGACGGTGGCCCTCCGCAGGTCTGAGCCGATTACCACCACATGTGAAGACATTGTGGTAATATGATTCTGGTTTTTGATTTTGGAAGATCGTATCCGACAGCGGGAGAGATGTTGGCCGTCGTGAGGTGAGGTAGAAGAGGTTGGCCTTCAGCTGTTGTATCAGGGTCAAAGTGTCGTTGGCGGGGTTGAATGCTCGGCGGGGGGCAACAGCAATGTTGCGTCTAGCTCTCGCGGCTTGTATTAGTGATGGAAGTCGGGGGAACAGTGAGGAAAGTGACAGCCGGGCACTTGGCAGCGGTGTTGTTTTGTCCAAGGCCGGAAAGGCGGTATTCTAAGGTAAGAGTTTGTATAAACCAAAGACTTCGTCTTGCATTCAAGTTCCAAGCAGAGTCGAGGTACCTATTTCTCAATGTAGGGAAGGCGGGATACGTGAACAGGCCAGGCAGACAGGAGGTAGTCAGCAGAGGCAACCGGGGACGTGCATCATCGCGGAGCACTCACTGAGAGCTGCCCAGCCCGGCAGCAAGCTCGGGCCAATCAGCTAGCTTCAGCCCGCTGTACGTGGATTTTCCGACCGCTTCGGCCGCGCCATGCGTGTTTGCCTTGCCCTGCAGTACCGTAGTAGCAGAGCAGTGGTGTACCTCAGCATTCCGATCCCGTCAACCTCCAATTGCAGCTCCCACCTGCCCATCCATCACGACCACCTTCGACGCAACACCAAGGCTATCCACAGCCAACCCCGCGACACATCACGACCTGATCCTCGACGGCCCCTCTGCTTCGACTCAACACACAAGCTTCCCAGTCCCCAGCGGCCCCTCGCTCCAGGAGCCAAGATGGTATGCTCGTCACTCCCCCTCCTCAGCCTCGAGATGCAGACCCCGAAGCTAACTTGTCCTCCTAGAGCTCCCCCTTCTCCATCAGTGCGTTCCCCTCAACCCGATAGAGCCCCGATGTGCATCGAATCCACCTTCCTAACATGTAATCTTTCACAGATGGCGGTGCCTGCGTCGCAATGGTCGGCAAGGACTGCGTCGCAATAGCCTGCGATCTCCGTCTCGGTCTCCAGGCCCTGACCGTCTCCAACAACTTCCCCAAGATCTTCCAGTACGGCGACGTCTTCCTGGGCCTCACCGGCCTCGCCACCGATGTCACTACCGTCGGCGACCTCTTCCGCTACAAGGTCAACATGTACCGCCTCCGCGAGGAGCGCAACATCGCCCCTACCACCTTCGCCAACCTCGTTAGCAGCTCACTCTACGAGCGCCGTTTCGGCCCCTACTTCGTCTCCCCCGTCGTAGCCGGTCTCGACCCCAAGACGGGTAAGCCTTTCATCTGCGGTTTCGACAGCATTGGCTGCATCGACTTCGCCAAGGACTTCATCGTCTCTGGTACCGCCTCTGAACAGCTCTTCGGCATGTGCGAGAGCTTATGGGAGCCGGATCTGGTATGTAGCACCCTTGGATTTGCAAATTACGTCGCGGCAGAATCTGACAGCATTTCCAACAGGGCCCGGAGGAGCTTTTCGAAACGATCTCCCAGTCTCTGCTGAACGCCGTTGACAGAGATGCACTGTCTGGTTGGGGTGCGCACGTGTACATTATTGAGAAGGACAAGGTCACCAAGAGGCTGCTCAAGGGCAGACAAGACTAATTTAACGACGGTGAGAAGTGGTGGGAAGAACGTGCTCAATAGGACCGCTGCAAATAGACGGTTTCTAGCTGTACCAATAGATGGATACAATCCACTATGACGGCCTACGAGGCCTACATGAACTAGACGAATGACCTTGTTTTACAATCACTTTCTTTTGGGGCTTCTAGCCTAAGTGTGGTGCTATGGCGTCGTCTTATGTACACTGTGTGTAAGATATGCCAGCTTTGCTATGTTACAAGTGGTCTATGATCTAGCTTGAGCTGATCTCTATCCATCTAAGCCTCCTTCTTTGCCTTGGAGGATGCGATCGCCTTCTTCTGACTGAAGAACGATCTCTCAACAGCCTTAAGACCCTCATCAATGAGACTAGAGAAAAGTTAATATATCGTCGAAAAGCTGGTCGAGGGAAAACTTACATGACGGGGGCGCTGATGTACAAGACCGCCTTCCACTCGTTCCAGTTCAGGGGCAGAATGGAGAACAGGCCCTGGAGGAAGGGGGTGTACAGCAGGGCGAAGTGGAGAGCCATCGAGAGGGTGATAGCATAGACGAGCTTCATGTTGGCCCAGAGAGGCAGAGACAGGAGAGACTCGCTGGACGAGAGAGCGTTCATGGCGTTGAACATCTCAATGACGACGAGAATTGACAATGAAACCGTCGAGGCAGACTTGGCGGCGTTGTTGGCGAACATCTCGCAGCCAATCTCGGGGAAGTCGCTGGAGCAGCGGTGGAAGTGAGAGAGGTGCGAGAAGTTGATCTGGGGACCCTCGGGGTTGTACATGAACCACCAAGCGTAGCCGGCCACAGTCGCAACACCGACGTAAGTTCCAATGACCAGGTAGCGGAAGAACAACCAGCCGCCGATCAGAGGCTCGTCACGCTTTCTCGGCTGACGTCTCATGATATCATGGTCAGGAGGGTTGAACGACAAAGCCGTAGCGGGAAGTCCGTCGGTGACCAGGTTGACCCAGAGAAGCTGAACAGGAATCAAAGCCTCGGGCATGCCAAGGGCGGCAGTCAAGAAGATAGAAACGACCTCGCCAATGTTGGATGAGATAAGGTAGCGAATGAACTGCTGGGTGTTGTTGTAAATGGAACGACCCTCCTCAATGGCGCTCTCAATGGTGGCAAAGTTGTCATCAGCGAGAACCATGTCGGCGGCAAGCTTGGAAACATCAGTGCCGGAACCCATGGCAACACCGATATCAGCCTTCTTGAGAGCGGGGGCATCGTTGACACCGTCACCGGTCATGGCAACGACTTCACCCTGCTGCTGGAGCAGGTCAACAAGCTTCGACTTGTGGCTGGGCTCAACGCGAGAGAACAGGGAAGCAGTACGAGCAGCCTCGGCAGCCTCGCTCTCACTCAAGTTCTCAAACTCTCTGCCGGTGAAACTCTTGCCCTTGAGGTCCTCATACTCGCTGAAGACGCCAATCTGTCTGCAGATGCTCTCCGCAGTGTTGCGGTTGTCTCCAGTGATGACAATAACACGAATACCAGCGGCCTTGCACTGGCGAATAGAGGCGGCGACTTCGGGGCGAGGGGGATCAAGCATGCCAACCAGACCAAGGAAAGTGAGATTCTGCTCGAGCTGTGCGTACTGTGCGGTAGACTTTGCTGACTTCAACAAGGGGTTGTTGCCAACGTTGTCGACACTGGCGAGAGCAATAACGCGGAGACCACGGTTGCCGTAGTCGACAATCTCCTTGGAGATCAGATCAGAGAGCTTACGGTCGAGGGGCTGGCGCTTTCCATTGGCGCCAACCAGAGCGTGAGTGCACCGTTCAATGATAGACTCAGGGGCGCCCTTGACAAGAAGCTTCTTCTCTTGGCCGTTTTGAACCAGAACAGACATGCTCTTGCGGTCTCTCGAGAACTCGTAGGTAGCAAGGCGGGGGAGATCATTCTCGTACTTGGAGCTGGCGTAGTGAATGCAGTCCTCGGGGTTGTTGTTGGACGGGGCGCAGGGACCAATCTTCTCAACCAAAACCCTCAAAGCACCCTCGGTAGGCTCGCCGACATTGGAGTAGGCGGCACTTCTAGCGTCGTACGCGAGCTTGGAGTCGTTGCAGACAGCCGCAACTTCAGTCATCTGGCGAATGGTAGCAGACGAGCGGGTAAGATCAGTGACCTTCTCGCCGTTAAAAGAGATGGAACCCTTGGGGGCAAAAGTGGTGCCTTCAACGTCAAGCTCGACCAAGTCGCTGCCATTCTCGTTGAGGTAGACAATCTTGCTCACACTCATCTGGTTGGTGGTCAGGGTACCGGTCTTGTCGGAGCAGATAACGCTGCAGCTTCCCAGTGTCTCAACCGACGGCAGACTTCTGACAACGGCGTTCTTTGCAGCCATCTTGCGGGTGCCCAGAGCCAAACAGGTGGTGATAACGACAGCGAGACCTTCGGGAATAGCGGCAACGCCGAGAGAAACAGCGATCTTGAGGTAGTAGATAGCACCCTTGGTGAAGCTTCCGTGACTGGGGTCGCTGAAGTGGGGGATGTTGATGAGCCAAACCAGAATGCAAATGACCGTAATGACCTTGGCGAGGCTGTCACCGAAGTCGTTGAGCTTCTGCTTGAGGGGAGTCGGCTCGGAGATCTGAGCAGTGATGCTCTCGTGAATGTCACCAATGGCCGTCTGAGATCCGGTCAAGACAACGACAGCCTTGGCACGACCAGTAACAACAGTCGTCCCAGAGAACAACATGTTGACCTGGTCCTGCAAAACGGCCCTGTCATCCTTGACGACGAAGGTGTGGTCCTTGCCAACACTCTCACTCTCACCGGTCAGGATAGCCTGGTCGACGGCGAAGCTGTTGCTTTCGATGGCGACAAGTCTGCAGTCGGCAGGGATGCGATCACCAATGTGGACGGACACGATGTCACCGGGGACGAGGTCCTCGGCCTTGACGCGGGAGACATGGCCATTGCGAATGACGTTGGCCTCGTTGGCGGAGTACTCCTGGAGGGCGGCGATGGCTTTCTCGGCGCTGCTCTCTTGTGAGACACCAACGACGGCGTTGAGGATGAGAATGGTCAGAATCTGGAATACCGGCACTGTTAGCCCGAGAAAGTCTTGGTATTGTGGGTATATGCATCTGGGATTACGTACCACTGCTGGGTCAACGAAGGCGCTCCAGCCTTCCTCCTGGTCGAACAGGGCGAGGACAAACGAGACGGCGGCTGAGCCGAGAAGAATTATCACGAGTTGGTCCTTGAATTGCTCGAGGATAAGCTCCCAGATGGGAGTGGGCGGGTCTTCGGGGATGACTGCGGACAGACCGTTAGCACGGAGCTATCGTGGGTTTCGGGTTTCGTGTCGCAAAGCAACTCACCATTTCTGCCGTGCTTCGTTCTTGAAGCAATGACTTGCTCATCAGTGAGACCGGTATTGGGGTTCACTCCCAGGGTAGAGAGGACCTTGTCGGTGGGTGAGGCGAAAGCGCTCTCCATCGCGAAAGATGCGCCGAGCGCGGAACGTGGCTTATCGAGAACCGGTAACAGCTAGCCGAGCTTCAACGGTGATCGATATCGAGATCCGGCGTATTGATGGGAACGAGAACGGTAGCTCTTCAACAGGGGAGGGAGAGGGAAAGATGCTCCAAACCTGTACCGAACAAAAGGTTTAGGAGTCGAAGATATGAAGGAGAGAAGGTGCTGGAAAAAGTAGGAGATCAGACAGCCAGCATATCTTATTGCACTGGCGGTGGGGCAGGAAGCTGAAATCGTCGCCGAACAGCCAGTTTCCAATACGCTCTACGTGTTCGTTCAGTGGCCGGTGCCAGGCTACCCTTCTGCAACTCTACTTTTTTTGCCGTCGAGAAAGATCCCGAGCTAGTCCGTCTCCGGCTAGGCTCGGTGGGGGGCTCCCCCTGCTACAGAGGTCCCAAGGTCCCAAGGTCCCAGCTTTTCCCCTGTGTTTCCCTGTCCGGATCGGGGACTAGCCACTGCGACGATGAGGCTAGAAAACGTGGGGCAAGGGCCAATCAAGGTCTCACGCAGCATGCTGCAGACGGCAACTCCAGCCAGGGCGGGGAGCGCGTAGGGCAGAGCAGCAGAAAGGGACAAGTCATCATCAAACACTGAGTTTTGCTGCTGCTGAGCATCTGAGCACCCGGAAACACCAGGTGGCAGCCTCGCAGTGTTCAGCACTCAGGTGTCGGATCTACGGCCTGGGAGTGGGTGCCTTCGTTTCGTTAATTAGTAAGCTTACTTCGGCAAAGTGTCGACCCTGTCTTTATTGTAGCTTACCCGACATGAGTGCCTATCTATCAATTGGTGAGGTATGATGTACCCAGCTGCCGCCTTATCGATCCATCCAGGTGCCTTACTTAGGTAAGCGAGCTGTGATGATGATGCTTACATAATGGTGCTAGGCAAGCGTCGAAAAGGACACTTCAGAAACGAAACGACTGCCCATTCCCGATCCGAACCTAGGCCCGCGGGCCCCGTCTTTCCTGGACTGGGACTAGGCCGCTCCGGAACCACCAGACCCATCGCCGAGACCGAGTCAGGTTTTAAACGAAGCCGAACATGCGGCGAACGGCAATGCAACGCATGCAATCGCATCGTGGGCTCATGTCTTGCGTAAGGTAGGACGAAGACGTGGGCCATCGGCGGCGATTAACGTCTTCATACCCACTTCAAAGTCGCTGAGGTCTCAGAACTTTTCCACGTATCTTGGTGTACTCCTCGGGCGCGCGATGCTGGGCAAAGCCACCGAAGCCAATGGTTGGGCAGGGGCGAACGGATGGCAAATCTTGATGACCGGTACACGCCAAAGAGACCGGTAGACAGAGCGTCCTTTGTCTCCCGCTCACTACGCCGCTCGTCGAGACATGGCGCTGATAGAAGGCGGCCCGTCACCGCCATGTTGAGCTGGCCATGTATGAAGGACGCCATCTTCAGAAACCTGCATCGAGCTTCAATCAGTCCCAATCGTCACGTCCGGACCAGAGGACAGCATCAGCATCATATGCATGTTCCGGCTGGACGTTGGTGCAACGCCGCCGTCCAATTCGCGTCGGCGACGCAAGATTCACGGATCTTGACCCGACAACGAGTCTCACACTAGCTCTGCATTTTCTCGTTCGCTGCATGCCGCAGCTGCATTCCTCCCGTCCGGTTCGTTGGTAGACTCGCCGGGTGCGACTTTCCACTGCAGGTCCGTACCACGCCGCGCTTTCTCGTCGGAGCCAACCTGTGAGAGCTATGCAGCTTGATCGTCGTCAGGACTCGAAGCCGGCGAAGCAAGTGCGCGCGACATAGTCCCGGCCAAGTTCCAACTACGTGGTTTCGGCCAGGACTTTCCACTCCTCAATTCCATTGTCTGTTTTAGCCTCCAGACTTCCTCCTCCGCCGTGTTGAAAGAGCCATCCCACCTCCTGCTCTTTCTCCAATTCCTCCCTTCCCTCCTTCGCTCTAGTCAACCCCCACAGGACTTCGTCCCGTCTCCTTGAGTCAGGAACTCCAAGCCGCGACATCATCCTCGTTGGCTTCTTCAACCCTCCCGAAAAAAAACCTCTCCCGTAGCTCGCAGTCCTACCAATTTTGCATCATTCATCTCCTGGTGTTGCTCACGTACATCATGTTTTGAATCCTCTTGGGCTTGCTTTTTGCTTCTTCTCTTTTTTGGTGTCTTGGAACCCAGTCTTACCATTCTCTTTCTTGGACCTCAAAATGGCATCGCCATCGCCACCAGACTCTACATCTATTGGAACAAGTTCCCGCTCAGGTTCCGTCCGAATCACCCGTAAGACATGTCCCGCCACATCCAATACCCCGTCGCCAACGCCCCGGCAAAACTCATCCACCACGGACGACCAACTCGAAGATGTCGACCTTTCATCTGAACTTGACGGCCTACATATTGACGGCGTCGAAGTGTGGGACACTCTGAGTGGCATGGCTGCTTTTGGGCTCGAGCACGATAGCAACAACTCATCCGGCAACACTACCCCATTCCCTCGCATCTCAATGGACGACAGCGACGACGACGTTCAGGAGCTGTCAGAGTCAGACGCACCAGGTAAACACCATGGACCTTTTCACAAATGGATGAGGAACCTGCACCGTCGAGCCAGGCAACGCCCCAAAGCTATGAACGCGGATGGCACACTACCCTGGAAACTCCTCGACCCGGCTGATAGGTCAGCTCTCTCTCGGAGGACTCGACACAGGAGGTCATCATCAGGCTCATCTTTCGGTTTTGTTGCGGCAGTGAGAAGTGCTAGTGTCAGTCTTGCGAGCGGCAGCGTTATGTCCCGTCCTCGGGGATACACCCGCCGTTCCTTTGCCCAGTCCAGAACCGATCGCAGCAGTAGAGCATCCTTCACCGCAACAAGGTGCTCAGAGGACAGTTGCCATGTTGAGTGGCCTGTAAGGGCTGACCCGATGGCAACGGAGCGTGCTTTACAACGCCGGCGCATCTTGGAGGAGCTCATTCAGACCGAGGAAGGCTACATTGGGGATATTCGCTTCCTCATGAATGTATGTCTCCAGCCGATCACAGTGACCTACAGAGCTAAACATCGCAGGTATACATTACGATTCTTGCGTCCCTCCCGACATTGCCAATGGGTTTGAGGTCTTCGATCAATCGAAATCTTACCGACATTGTTGAACTGCACGAAGAGCTCTTGGGGGAACTGCACAGAGTTGTCCCAGACTCCGAGTATTCGCAAGCAGATGTCCCTGCGACAACTAGCAAAGTCCCTACTCGTGGCCACCAACGGTTAAGAAGTCTCGATTCTGTGCCAGAAGACGACAGGGCCATAAGCTGGCTGCAAGATGTTCCTGGGATGATGTCAGAAGCACAGACAGCGGGCGCCGTCGCCAAAGTCTTCAGCAGAAAGGTAGGCTCCCAACTGATTTACGTTACTGCAAACGCCTGTGGCTAACAAACACGAGATGAACCGGTTCTTCGTTTATGAGGAATACGGAGCCAAGTATGAGCTGATGATCAAGGATGTCGCCTCAGCCCACCGCACCATGCCCCAATGGGATACTTACCAGAGGGGTATCGAGGCGCTGGCTTCTTCATTAGGTTCTGCAAACTCCCATGCCGATCAATCAAAGAAGTCATTGACTATTGGAGACCTCCTCGTGAAGGTAAACACCAAGAGTCTTGGATGTGTGCGACCACAAACTGACACGTAACCAGCCGATTCAGCGCATCTGCAAGTATCCGCTTTTGTTTGCCGAGCTCCTGAAATACACGCCCGTCGCAGACTGTCCCAACTCCCACATGGAGGTGGAGAGTGCGCTTCTCCGATTGCGAGAGGCGACGGCGGAGATCAACCGGGCAACCAACGATACTCGGATGAAGTCCACCCTGGAAAAGACGTGGATTCTCCAAGATCGGCTGGCCTTCCCCGAACAAAAGCTAGATGCTGCATCAAAGAATCGGATCCGATCATTTGGCCATGTCGAGCTTTGCGGCGTGCTGCACATTTGCTGGCAAACCAAGGAGGGTGCCAAGGGGCAGTACATGATTTGCCTTCTCTACCACAATATCCTGTGTCTAGCTTCGGCCAGCAAGGTCGACCAGATTTATACGATCCAAGCATGTGTCAACTTGAACGGTATCAAGATTGAAGAAACGGACAACGGTCGGGGTAGGTGCACAGCTCACTGTCTGCTTTGGCCCGTTATACTAACACAAGTGCAGGTCTACAGTGTCATACGGCTCCGTTCTCGTGGAAACTTGTATTTGAATGCGACTCCCAACTGTATGAAATACTCATGACTGCATGCACGCCGCGCGAGCAGGAGGAATGGCGCCGCAGGTTGTCGATTCCCAACAAGAGAAACGAAGAGCAGCTCGATCCCAACTTGTACAGCTCTATTGCTCTTCCCATCCGAAGCCTGGGCACGGTGTTTAGAAAACCAGGTTAGTTATTACGACTGCCAGAGTCTCGATTGTTGCTGACCACGATCAAGGCACTGTTGCTCGTCGTATATCGATCCATCGTGCCACCACCGTGGGCCCGAAGTCGCCCTTGTGCCAGGTCATTCTTAAGAACACCAGCGTTATGCGGGATGGCTCGGAGGGAAACTCGAGCTCATCGATCAATCGCTCGCAGTCGTTGCTCACAACAGCAAACCCGCGCATACCCGTTATTGCTCCTCCGCGCGGCGAGAGAGCACGACTAGAGGCTTTGATGTCTGACATTTGGAGTCGCGACGTGCTGCCGTTCCCTAGCATGAATAGCAGGTCCCGCAGCGAGCATCTTGTCCGGAGCTCCGCCAGCACTGTGATGCGGAAATTGAGTGTGGCGAGCATCGCCAGCTCCTTCGCGAAGAGGTCAAACAGCGTGGCTAGCATAGGCAAGTTTATGTCGGAGGATGACTCGGGCGAGAAACAGGAGGACGCACATCACGGACCTTCCACCAAGCTTACCAAGGCCGAGCCTTTCGACGCTAAGCACGTTTCCGATGACGAAGCGAGTGAAACAACAACTGCCCGGCTTCCAAAGATTGACGACGATGTCGAATTCAAAAGCACGGTCAGCGCTCCCACGACGCCAATGTTGGGCCCGGTCAAGCTTGACGTGCACGCCGATCCAATTGAGCGGCTGCGGCTAGAATGCGACAAAGGAGTGGCAGGAAACGCTCTACATTCTAGACCGATTGTTCTGCGTACGGCGTCGGGCAATAACATCCCTCGAGCTCGTCGAAGCCCAATGCCGTCCAAGAGGTCTCCTCGTCCACTGGACGTGGTCAACCAAGCTCGAGCACAAAAGATGCCCAGGTTGTCCCACAAGCCGTCGCTACGATGGGGAAGAGTTGGAACATTGAACAAGGAGGACTGGGTGCAGGGCATTCGAAGCTTCTTCCGATAAGCAGGAAGCTATGACTAACGAATGTTCATCACTACGGTTGATAGATTGGGTTGGATGGGAGCATGAAGATATCACATTCGTTATTTGACCCCTCGTTGGGTAATCTACGGTACCCGAGGCAGTCGGCCAGAGGTGACCTGTCCCCAGGTATTCTTAGTTTACGCAGCATTAGGCTGTTTTGGTCGTCGAGCAGACGAGAGCATAATGATACCCCTCCATTACATGAAAGCTGGGGCCTTTGACGTACGTGTCGCATGTGATGTCAGTGAGGCCATCGTGAGGGTTTGCAATGTGGCTTGATCTTTGATTGCCTCTGGTGGAAGGTAAACGGATGTCCGACCTCTCCAGGTTTTGGGAAGCTTCCACCAGGTTCAGCTCCAGCTCTTGAGCCCCACAATGGCATGCTGCTGTGGTGATTGCTGGTCAGCGAGGCTCGGGTGACTTGCGTCAATGTACCCCGCGACACGAAAGTGCGGGAATTCCAAGGAGGCTGGACCTGCCCCGATGTTCCTTTTCCATCTGGATCATTCTAGGCGCAACGTGTGAAAACCCCTTTGGCCTAAATCTTGGTCAGAGAATTAGCAGTGACGTACTAGAGTGGTGTAATGCAGGAACGCTCAGTGTTCCCGGTACCTAATGGCGACGTACCTGGAAGGAGCACGGAGGCACTGGTGCCCCGCTCCCTCCCTGGGCAAGCTCGAATGGCGGGGCAGTGATGAAAGGCAGTCGCGTGTTCCCGCACCTATGACGTAGCTTTCTAATCACAAGCTGTACAGCTCCTGCCCTCTCCTGCCTTAGCTGAGGAAGCTCCCCTCCCTAGCCTACGGTTTAAAAAGCCTTTTAAGAAGCTCCCTTCTACTTTCATTCCACAGATCAATCACCATCACCTCAACAATATCAAGATACCCGACGATCTTCGTCTTCACACACACACACATTCAAACACCAGCGAAAGACCTCCATTGGAGCTCAGTATCACACACCACCACCACACCTACCTACCACCTACAACACCCACACCACAGTCAAAATGGTTCGCGGCGAGGCTCAGCAGACCAAGGTCCACTACAAGGGCGCCAACGACGACTTCCTCATCTTCGTCGAGGACCCCGAGCTTTACAAGAAGTGGAAGGGCGATAAGTCCGTTCCCTTGGCTCACTTCGTCTCCTCATTCAAGATCTTCGTCACGCACAAGTAAGTCTACCACCGTCTGCACACATCATCAAACCTATCGGCCTATCATTCCTTTACCCTTTCGACCGGCTGAAGATACTGGCGGTTGGCGATACGCATCAATCTCACAATGGCGGCTTGGGTCGTCGGTGGTTGGCCAAAGGCTGCACTCTACCCGCCGACCGACTTGGAGACCTACCCCTCACCCCTTCGTCATCACCACATCAGCCTCAATGGTGCGCGCGGCGGCTAACAACCCAAATAGGCAGGGCGCACAGGGCACCTACGATGCCGCCTCCAAGGCTTCATTGGAGAACGAGTTCGGCACCCACGTCGATGAGGATGTCATCAAGCAGATCTTGGAGAAGGGTGACACACAGAACGTTGAGGTAAGCTTCACGTTGATTCAGAAATGGTCAACCATACTGACGAACTCTTGACAGTTCCCCGACCGTCAAGGTCCCAAGAACGACTCCCAGGGCGGCATGGTTGCCCACTAGGAGGCTTCTCTGGCAAGACCATGCACCGGCTGGAGTCGGCATGGACTGTCTCGCAACCGGAAGGTAGTCTCAAGACGCCTCCACTCGAGACATACGCAAAGATTATCCAGGCGTAATGGATCAAAGCGTTGAATTTTGAGCGATGATGTTGTGCAGAAGTGGTCAGCGAAGGAATTGCGCTGGGACGAAGGATACTCAACATCAGGATGGGAACGGACATAATGAATCATGTCTCTTTATGACCATTGCAATGGCGGGGAAGGTTTTCGCAGGTGGGCTACTACGAAAGTGGAATGCTACCTTGCTAAATAACCTTAAACTATCCCCCCGAGCTCGTTAAGGGCTCACATCGACGCCAGTTTTTAACCACGGGTCGATTGCATGGATTTCTACCTTAGTGATAAGATAGTTAATCATGAGCGCATGACATCCCAATTCGTTTTCATTTACTTGGCATCTTGCCGTCGTGTGATTGTCAAACATTAAGATCCCGCCAAGTATGCACAATACTTGCCGCCGCTACCGATAATGGCCCGGGCGAGCGTTGGCAGCAACCGTCGTTCCTCTCTCCCTGCCTTCAGAGTCTTCAGGCCTGTTCCAATTTCCTCCGCATCAAGACGATGTTTTCTTCATTTATGCTTTCTTCACATCATTTGACATTTCGTTAGAGCAGAATGGACAACTTCGCACCATCGACTTCGCCCGGACAGCGTACCTGAACTCATGGCAGCAACCACATATAAAGCCCCGCTTTCCACCCGCTTGGTCATCACGAAGCAGCGAAACCGACCGCCCGGGGCACCTGGGCTATATAAAGACTTGTTAACCCCAAACCCACGCGCAACACCATCTAGCTACTGCAGGAACCAAAAACCAGACGATTTCTCGGGGCGCACGCAGCACACGCGAGAGAGGTGGTGTGTCCTGTCAAAAGAAGAGAGAAAAAATCGGTGTGGTGGGGGTGTCAAGTCACTGTCCACCGTCCAACACCCGTTGTTCGTAATGTGCGCCCGTTTCGACAGTGTTTCGGGCGGGTGTTGTGAGCGTGGAGACCTCGCGACGGCCCCTGCTCTCTCTTTTTCGTCGCTGTCGTCTCAAGAAATCTCGCCAATACTCTCTCTGTGTCCTCCTTGACCTGCTTGTTCCTTGCACCTATAGACAGGCACGGTTGTGATGATAATAGAAGCGGTGCTATCGTCCCGTTTTGGGGGCAATTGGCCGTTGGGCAAAACCGCTTCACCTCCGCCACCCCCCCCCCGGGCTATATGTGAAGGGATGCGATGGGCGAATCCACAATTGCAATTTGCACTGCCCTACGCAAATTGCAAGATTGTAGCCGCATCTCTTGTTTAAATTTTCTCCGCTGGGACCCGAGTCTCCAAAGCGACATGGCCTGGGTTGAATACGAGAATTTGACGTGAGGTTGTCGCTTTTTGGTAGGCTTCTCCTGTCGGGAGGAGGGCTGACTGGTCACTTACTCAGGGTCTTGTCAAATGATGTAAGGTTTTTTTTTGTCTTCTTCTGGAAGGATGGGAAGGAAAGTAGGGGTGAACATGTCAGCGTGTGTTAAGCTTGTTTGCCGTCTTTACCGTGAAGTTTGAGCAAGTTTTCCTGAAGCGGCAACTGAAAGGGATGGAGGGAGGGCAGAGGGAGCAGAGCAGGGCATGGATGGGCTGGGTTGTTCATTCATAATGGGCCGACGAATGGATCGTGTAAGTTGCTTTGGCAAGTTCTGGTCTTCTTGACATTAGGTTGTAGCATTGGTATGGCTATTCGCTATGGTATCCAAGGCCACGTTCTCTTTTGACAGCGATGGCTTCTTTCCCCCCTTCCCTTACATGGTAGAAGGGGCACACTCTTCTTCTTCTTCTTCCTTCCTCCCACCATCCATCCATCCCATCCATCCGAGCCCCACAACCCAAGATGGTGTTGAGCCGGGCTTCGGGATGATACAACCGCCAAGGATGCCTCCTGTCTCCGTGGCCACCGACGTCAGCCCATGAGGCTCGTGAAGGTCCCCGCTCTTGCGAAACAGGACGAACGAATACCAACATGGTTGACCCTGCCCCCTGTCCACGTATCCTCCTCTTCGACCACCCACACACACCAGAAGAAAGTGGTTCGCCCAACGCTTAGAGATGACTTGCAGAGAGAAAATTGACCCGAAAAGGAAATCTTTCTTTTCTTGTCTTTCGAGAGGTCCGTTTTTTTTTTAGCCGTGTTGGTTTTTGTTGAGTTTTTGATGGACAATTGGAAAGAAGAAAAATCGATTTTTCCCTGTCGGATTGAGGAGGAAAAACGCCGATGCTAGATGCCGTGATATTCGATTGAAATCGTATCGTTAAAAACATGTATAAGAAATTCGGTTGGAATCATTGCTCAGAGAAAGAACGATTAGGGTTTCGTAGGTTCGTCCGAGTTTGCGGGTGGAGGTTGGTGTTGCTCGTCGTAAAGTTGAGTGTTGCACACTGGTTGTCTCTTGGTCAGGCTGTAAGCCTGCGAAGTCAAGACGGGTTGTGCACACCGGGTGATGAGCGTAGAAGGCGAGATTCGAGTTTAGACCTTGCCGCGAGCGCCTCTTTGGGGGAGTGTCCAGGGCTTAGCGCAGATGATCTCTCCTTCGCTGTAGGCCCAGAAGTAGACGACGAGAGCGATGAGGTAGTAAAGGGCAGCGTTGGTGCCTTGGTAGATGAGGGCGGCGGCGAGGGTCGTGAGAGGGAGCATGATGAGGCGGAACTCCAGACTGCGGTGGATCGCGCTGCCGGCGATAAGAGGCATGGGCCATTCGAGGGCCACCATGAACACCGACATGATCAGATTGATAATCTGCAGTACCGGTATAGGCTTGACGGCCGGATCCAGGGTCTTGGTCAAAAAGTCCCAAAAGATCTTGGGCCAGAAGAAACCCTCGAGAGCGGCTCCAAACTGGTCTGTCAAATAGAGTTAGCAACTAGCGCGATGGCGTGGGCTTGGGCCCGTTGGTGTAAGTCTGGACTTACAAACTGCAGCGCTCATGACGATGAGGCGAGCCCAGTGGTTCTTGATAAGACGACCCATCTTTCTCGATTACGAAATACTGATGTTGACTTTCTTGATGTCTTTGAACCCTTCTTTTCCTCTCTCTTTCTGATTGCTCAGTTGCGGTGTCGTATAAAAACGTCTTAGTGATATCCTTTTCCGCCTGTTGCGCTGAAACCCTTCGATGACCTCGTGTGATCGTGATTGTCGTTTGAACCTCTTGCTACCCAAAAACCCGAAAACCAGCGAATGAAGGGAACGAGGGAAACGGTCGTCGAGATCGGAGTCCTCTCTTGCGTAATAAAATCGGGTTGGTGCAAAAAAGGCGACTCAGTCGAAGAGAACCGTGCAACGGCGAAAGGAAAGGAAAGGTACCGGACCTGCGGGTTGAAGGAAGAAGTGAAGGCGTCGAACAGAAGTATGTCGATATTAAAAGAAGGCTATCGACAGGCTACGCTGGCGAGGCAAAAGAAGAGAAGGTGCGAGAGAGAAGGACTAAAAAGTGTCAACCGATCCCAAGGCGGGGAGGGCAGACAGATCTATATTGAGACGAGAAGAGTCGGGATGGGATGAGACGTCCTGGAGTGAAAGTGCCAACAGACCAGGGGTCTGGGGGGGTGAGGTGGGTGGTGATGGGTGGAGAGGAGGTGTCGAGGGAAGTGTGGGCTTGCCCAGCCCAGAGGGCAAGACACCGAGCCGCGCAGAAGGCTGGTTGAGGCTTGTATCAGGATGTGGCCCCGGGCTAGCTGGCTGGGGAGGGTATCACTACTATCGGGTGTTTCTGGCTCGATACTGAGGCGAGTTCTCTAGAGATCCACGTTCGAGCAATCTGATCTATGATGACAGCGGGCATCCGAGCGGCATTGAGACGTTTCTGGTTGCGCGAGGGTGTTGGGGGTTGTTGTTGGTCTGCTATAGCCCAGGCAGGCAGACGATAAGAGGCGGAGCCAGGGGGTGGTCGGTGGTTCAAGCCCAAGTTGGTCTGCGGTGTTGTGGTTGTGGTGGAGCAATGGTGAGGGTCTTGGTGAGGATGATGGCAACGGCGTGTGATGTTCCTGTGAGGCTCTGTGTAGGAATATTCTCCTAGTGCCGGGAAGCCGTTGTGCGAAGACAGGTACGGGGTAAGTGTGTGAGGCAGAGGTCAGGATGATGAGGCGTTGTGGTGGAGTCGCAGTAAGGTAGGACGTGATGTTCGTCAGGGATCCGTGCTCTATCGCCCCGTCGCATGAAGTTTGTTTGAAGATCAGACAGTACGGTTGTCAGGGACACTGGTGAAGCAAGGAGGCGGACGAGGGAAGGAGGAAAAGGTGGTAGACAGGAAACGACGGAAAGGGTGCACACGCGAGAGCTGGAGGCAGACGAGTTTTAAGAAACGCCGGCTTTGGGAAGACCAGGATTAAGCGTTCATGGTTCTTGATCTGGGGCGGGAATGGATGCAAGAAAGAAGTGCAGAGTGCAGAAAGCGGCGCGCAGAGCGGCATCATACGTCCGTCGAGCAGCGCAGACTGTAGCATTACCCGCCAGAAGCAGGACCCAGCCACGGCCGAGACCGCCCATGATCTCAGTCGATAGCCAGTTGAAGGTGGTCACACACGCGTGGACAGCGCACTAGAAGGGCCAGGGCCCGGGGTGTGATGGGGTTGCAGCCGTCACTTGACTGCTGCACGATGGGGAAATACATGGCGGTAGAGGGAATTACAAGAGAGAGCGAGGTAGAGAGCGCATGTTGCGTGGGCATCTTGGCTTCGTAACCTCGCTGTGAGCAATAAGCAGTGAGCGGACGTGGGTGAGGGATGTAGGCCGGCGGGTACGGATGCAAGGGTAGCCGGGATGGGGACAGGAACGAGTCTTGCATAGTAAGGTAAGGTAAGGTACGTAGACGTGGAGGTAGCCCGAGGAGGGAAGGAAGCAATGCATTGTTTCCTGCTGCAAGCAATATGAGTTGAGCAAGCGTGGAGGCGAGCAACGGTTCGAATTGGTAGAGAGTTGCCCAGAGAGGTGAGAGAGAACTGGCAAGAGGTTAACGCACCACGGTGATTGGTCTTGCACTACCAAGTCGTGGGCGGTTAGAGAACGAGCTCGGGCCAATGAGACCCCTTGCCGCTTCACCTTTGGCAGGCGAAGGGTGGGGCATCTGGGAGGTGCCCCTGCAGCCAAGGGACCAGGGGTGAGACTGGGGCCGTCTGGTCTGCCGTCAGATCATCGCATCCTAGCGGGATACTTCCGAACACCGCAACCGTGTGGTGGGATGACATGTATCTACGCTGACCTGGAGGTGTCGTCCCAGGTTTCTGCTGGCTGTCGTTGTCCTCGCTTCCACGACACCACACGGTCCAATGCCCAAGACAGACGAAGCCCGCCAGCCCAGCCCTCCCCCAGCAACTATCCCAGCGCACTCATAGCAGCGCTGAGATGCCCTGGAAGACCAGCCCTCCAGTAATTGCTTACTGGGTAGAGTGCTAATTGTCGCCTTGGTGCGTTTCCCAGCCCACTTTTGGAGGAGAAATCGACAATCTAAATTGCCCAACGGTCGATTTAATCTATCTAGCCCGGCCATTTCAGCAAATGAACGTGGAGAGAAATCTACGATAGGCAACTCGGGGACGGAAAACAAATGGTCGAAAGAAACATTTCCCGTCATTGCCCGTCCCTGGTAGGTGCAAATACAGAATTAGACATCGTCGTCTAAGAAAAGTATCCGTACAGCAGCAGTAGACATTGCGCTGCGCTGTCACACAGCCCAACCACCGCCACGCAACTGCCAGTGGCAGGCTCCCACCCGTCCCTTCTCGCTGCGGTGCTGTGCTGTGCTGTGCTGTGCTGTGCTGGTGCTGTGCTCTCCCCGCTCCTCCTACACACCTCACCTGTCGCACGAACTCAATCGATCTTCCAGATGGCGTGGAAAGCGTAACGGAGATCGTGCACCACCCACTCACACACACCCAATTGCGAGAAAAGACCCGACACAGCCCAAGGACCCCGAACTTCAGACAAGATGCAATCCCATTGAGCCTCCAGCAAAAAATCCAGAGTGTTCATGCCATCTGATCCTCAACCAAGCCCTGAGACGGCTGATCAAAACCGCCTCAGACAGACGCAAGTTCCAGAATGGCTGTGCTGAGGCACATGTGGTTTGAGAAGATGGGACGGGCTGTCCGCCGCCCGGTCGCAGGCGCTGTCTCGTCCGAGCCCAACCCTGTCGCTGTTGTCGTCCTGTTGACCGCTACCGAGGACGACCCCTGTCCCCCGTTGCCCCAAGAGAGTCCCATTCAGACCCCGTTTGGCTCACAAGCTGGGCATACCACATGGGACTTATTGGACATGGATTGAATTTTTCCTCTCTTTTTCCCCCTGTTCCGCTGTTCTTGAGCGGGAACACTCTGTATCTCGAGACCCACAGCGGACGCCATCTCAAGCTTGTCAGTGACCAGAGTGACGGCAGTCGTGAGTGCAGGTGGAGACACATGAGTCGATATCAAAGAATGAACAGCTTCAACGACCTCTCAGAATGCTCAGGTGGAAGCGAGTTGCTGTCAGTTGACTGTCATCCTCGGTAGCCTCGCCGCGAACCTAATGAAGCCTCACCATGGACAGCTGACGCCGCGGATGACAACCGAGCAAAACGGTGGTGTCTACGCTCTCTTATTCAGCAAACCTTTCAGATGCATGAACACCTGCCCTCCCCCAACTTCGTCGACGTTACGCAACGAGGCCCCTGCTCTCCTCACAACTCTCGACTCGGACCGACGAACAGACGATGGGGGATGAACGCTGCACTTCAGTCCGCGAACAGACCGCCGAGGGGACAGTGACATTGCCCATCGAATCTGCCAAGCAACCCATGTCGACAGAACCTTAATCATCAGCGTCAAGATGGGGGCGAAAGGGGGCGGCTTTGCTTCCGCTACCAATCGTCCTCGACTATGGTCTGGTCCGGTCTGGCGGTCACACCGACACACCCACCCTGTCCGCGACGTGAACAACCCGTCGAGGTCCATTCCTCCGATGGCTGCTTTTCAGACGGTCCATTTGGGATGTAAAGCCGTTGTTTTCAAAGCGTCGCTGATTTTTTTTGGCGTCAACCACCGTCAGCTTTCTGCGGCAAGCGCCCGGATGTCACTGCTGACAGCTCTGATCGATCGTTCCAGGCTAAGCTACCTTTCCTTAGTTTAAGGCGGGAGGATTTGCCCATGTTGCAGCCGCCGTCTTGTTCATCACCTTGACCACCCGCAGTATCAGCCTCTCGCCGCCAGGTTTGGACTAGAGAGGCTCTCTGTGTGTCAACGACTCTAGCGCGGGCATGCATCCTTGTATCACCTTGCGTCTCCGGGGATGCACTTCTTGCGCAGTTGCCGCACTCGAGTCGAGCACGGTAGTTTACGGATGCACTACACGCAATGCGTACCACCAGCAACCACGTCGCTGCTTGTCTGATTCAACGCTGTCACGGCGGGGTTGGGTTGCGACGCAAAAAATCGATAGTCCCTCGGGCCAAGATCACGCAGAAGGGATGGACCGCAATAAAACTGCTCAGATCTGGATCGCCTCGGCAGACAAGTGGCGGGTTTCCAGGCCATATTTGACTCTTGTTCAATCTGGCAATATGCTCGCCTGCCGAATCAACGACACTGCAGCACATCCGCCGTCTGCATTGGTACGCTGCAGGATGGGCCTAAAAATAAAAAAAAAAGACGAGAGGGAACATCGTCGCTGAGAGCTCTGAGAGTGCGTGTGGTCAACTTTATTTTCGCGGGCGGTTCACGGCTCTTCGCCATTGGCTCCCCTCTCAGCAGTCCACATGGCTGCGGCCCACACTCTCCGGGGTTCTGGCCAACCATCTCAGCCGGCGCATCTGCCCGGAGGGGTTTGTCGTCACTTGTGCTACTGCAACCGCCGGGCAGATATCACAGCAATCTATTCACGCAGGTTTTCAACGACGGAGGCTGGACAATGGACGGCTCGGTCTCGCGAGGCGGTCAATTCCTTCTGGAATCACAACCCATCACTCTCGGCACATGAGCTCCACGCCAGAAATAGCT